AGAGAGAGAGAGAGAGAGAGAGAGAGAGAGAGAAACATACACATACACACACAAACACATACAGTAAACAGAGAGAGAGAGAAAGAGAGAGAGAGAAAGAGAGAGAGAGACAGAGAGAGAGAGAGATACTGAAAGAGAGAGAGAGAGAGAGAGAGAGAGAAAGCAACAAAAAATACACATACCACACGCAACAGTGACACAAAAAAGTGGGCATGTCAGAGAGGGGTAACCACAGGTCAACAACAAGCTGGCGACATTGAAATATTTCACCGTCTGGGGGCCATAGAGGTAAACGAAACAAACATTCTCAACTAACTAATTATTAATTTACTTCTAATTTATACAATTATTCATTTATTCACGTGTTTATTCTTTTTATTTTGTTTGTTTCGGGGAGGGGAAGACCGAGAGAGAGAGAGAGAGAGAGAGAGAGAGGGTTTGGGTGGGGAGGGGGAGAGGATGGGTTGGAGGTTTGGGTGGGGAGGGGGAGAGGATGGGTTGGTGGTTTGAGTGGGGAGGGGGAGAGGATGGGTTGGTGGTTTGGGTGGGGAGGGGGAGAGAATATTTTTTAAAAGTTAAAAGAAAAAAGCTGCAAACCTAGACAGAATTTGTTAAAAGTCAAAAGAAATCCAAAAACTAGATTAATCATCTTTTTATTCCCAACCCGGGCCGTCAAACAAAAAGTCAACACGAAAATCGGTTTCACTTTTATTAACCCTATCCGTACGGGTCATTTTGTACCCCCAGAGTTGTATTCTTCCCATTTTAAAATACTTCTAGTACGGAGATCTCTTTGAAACTTTCAGTATTTCCCAAAAAATCATGTTGAAAGACTGCTTAGCAAAGCGTACAGATCGGATTAAGGAGTAAATTTCCTCTTTGGAAAGTGGTGGCACAGAGTTCCACGCGTCGTATGGATGCGATAGTAAAACACGACGTACGGATAGGGTTAAGCGGTGGCACAGAGTTTCCCACGTCGTATGGATACGATAGTAAAACACGACGTACGGATAGGGTTAAGTGGGGGCACAGAGTACGATAGTTAAACATAGCGTACGGCCACTGGCAGCACTGTTGTTTTGGTGAGCATTATCAGGGGGAAAACTTTCAGAGATCATCGAAGTTAAAAGTTCAAGGGCCTCAGTATCTCTCAATAAACCAGAAAAGACGGGAGTTCTGCGAGTCTCAGAATATATTCCCAATCTGCCTAGACTGCTGGTGCATGATATTTTTAATAGTCTATATGTGTCCAGACGTTGTGGAATCAGACTCTCGTCAATTTTTGGGCATTCGGAGTTATTGGTATCATCTGAAAGCTTATTCGTTTGCTTTGCGTTTTGTGAAAAGACACCCCTCTATCTGGAATAGAAGTCTAAAGGTTTGTAATTGAAAGAGGTGGGGGTAGCATGGTTTCAGAGGTAAAAGTATTGAGAAAATGGCCGCCAAAGGTCTTTAACGTCTGTAGCTTGAGGGTGCTTGAAAACTGAAAATATACATATTTTGTGCCATTAATCAACGTTTTCAGCAACATTCTCAGGGAGATATGTTTTTATACGGACATAAAAGGTGTTGAGCCGAAGAACACAAATTTGATAAAAATTGCCAAACTGGAGGAAAAATGCCTGTTTCTTCGATTTCATTATTTTGACGAGCGCCTGATTTCACCACACTGCCACACATATTATTTTATTCTATTCTTCTTCTTTGCGTTCCTCTTGATAAATATCAGGGATGATCGAGTGCTGGTTCTTCAACCTGCAGTGCAACTGATCTTTACACCTGTGACTGTGTTTCCCGCTTGGTAGGCCCCCTGCCTTCAGGTAGCCACATTCCAATTTCAAAGGTTTTGTCGTTCTAAATAAAATAGAAGTAACAGAAATGTGGTTTCTTTGGAGACTGCTAAGAGTATCGTGGAAGGAAAAGAAACCAAAAGAGGTAGTGCTTGATGAAGCCCACGTGGAACGCTCAATGTTAAAAACAATCAGGAAACAACAAATTATACAGTTTTTGGGACACCTGAATTGACATAAGGGTCTTGAACATCTAGCTCTCACTGGCAAAATTGAGGGCAAGCGAGGCAGGGGTAGGCCCAGAGCAACATACTTAGGGAACCTAAACAAAAGGGTAACAGGGAAAGATCAGGGAAACGTAGCTTTTTTTTTAAGAACATCCGAGCAAATGAATGAATGGAAAACCATGATCGCCGATGTCTGTCGCAGATCTGGATGATGATGATGATGATGATGATGATGATGATGATGGTGTCATTCTAAAAGCCACCCATATAATATAGCATAAACACCAGAGGCCTTTTCGACGGCGCGTTTTATCAACCATTGTGCATTACAACATAACATATTTAGATTTCAAATTTATCAACAGAAATAATCCCCAAATGGTCTTCGAACACACTTTCTCCTCTCCATAACCATGATATATATATGTCAATAGTCACACCCTGCTGAAAATGCTGTCAGGATATGTCCTAAATGAGTTACAGTAGTGTGTCGATGGGGGCATAAAACGTCTACAAATATTACAAATACAACTTTTAATCCCAGAGGTAGATATATTCAATAATAATAATAAT